TTTCATTTGAAAGATTAAACAACTGCCTAGGTCCCACTGGGGTGAAATGGAGATGTCTATGAGGGGCAGGAAGATGTCTCTAAAAAAGAGGTGTTTCTACTGGGGAATGAGGGTGAGCGGGGGTGAGAGGGGTTCCAGAGGCTCTCATGGGAGTCTAGAGTGGAACTGCAGTGTTAAAGGATCCCTCTGTCCTGCATCCAGAGCAAAACCCAAATAAGTCACCTCTCTCCACCTTCCCTATGCTTCTCGGTCCCACCCTCAGCATCTCCCTGGGTGTCTGCAGCTGGCAGCCTGGTCCCTGCGTCCCTCTGTTGCCTGTGGTCTGTTCGCACAGCATCCAGATCATGTCACCTCTGGCTCACGCCCTCTGACACGCCGTCCTTCATTGCCTTTGGAGTAAAACCCAGTCCCTGACCACAGTCTGGCCTGAAGGCCTTAGAGCTCTGGTCCCACCCTGCAGCACTTCGCACCTCTGCTGTTCTGTTGCCTCCTCCCCGAAGGCAGCAAGCAGCCTCATACCCAGGGCCTGTACCTGCCCTCCCTTGGCCTGCTACCCCCAGCTTTCTGTCTTGCCCTATATTTCCTTCAAGCGAGACCTCCTCACGGTGAGGGCTATATCTAAGGTAATGGCTTCAGCTAGTCTCCATAGCTTTCGTTTATTTTCTTCATAGCACTTGTTACTATCTTGACATTGTATGTTTATATTCATGGCTGTATTCCCAAAGCTAGAATTGTATGTGGCCAGGGCAGGATGATCAGCAAAGATTTGCTTAGCAGTTAAATGAATGAATGAACAAATGGAACGGGCAGAGTCACTGCAATGCAGGGACAGAGGACAGGATGGCAGGGCCTGAGGCAGGCTAGGTTGGAGGAGCCATATGGAGCAGAGCTTAATGTGTCAGGGTCTCTTGGGGCCAGGTGAGGATTTGGCTGATAGCTGAAGAATGATGTGCATTATTACAGTATTTGAGCAGGGGGGTGGTATGACCAGATTATATCTTACTGAGATGCCACAAGCTACTAGCCAAGCAGCCCAGGAGCTTTCCAGTCAGAGATGAGGGCCAAGACCAGGGCAAGCAGAGAGGCAGAGAGAGCAACTCAGTTCCACAAGTGTTTTGGGCCAGAATCAGGAGGGCCCTAGGGTGGGAGAAGGAGATGGCTGTGTGTGGGGCACCCTCCGGCCTTTTCCTGGGATGGGGTCAAGGAAGGTGACACTTAGAGCCGTGCTGGGGAACAGGGCAGAAGCCAAGGCTGCTGCATGTTCCTCAGAGATTCGAGAACTTGCTTGTCCCTCTGGAGTCAGTCAGCACCCATTTGCTGTGCTCCCTGCGAACCAGGGAGGGGTCACCCCCTCCGATGCCCCCAGCCATGGAGGGACAGGGCAGCAGAAAGAAAAGCCCCTCAAAGGGATAATGGTCCCAAACCGCAGCGGCTAATAGATCAAGGTGCTTACCCTCTCTGTGCCCCAGTTTCGTAGCGTGTAGAGTGGTGGGAATGGTGCCTTTCTGCATGGGGTTGCTCTGGGAACGAAAAGAGCCTCTCTGCTGAGGCACCTGGAAAGAAGAGTCTGTACATCTGACAGCGGCTGAGCGGCCCAGGAGGCAGCAGGGACCTTCTGGGGCTTCAGCAGAGGAGGATGGGGTGGGCTGTGCAGTGTACCCTTCTCAGAGCTGGCCCCTAGGCTGTGCTAAGACACACAGCACATCCATCCTGCTCTGCCTTTGAAAGGCCTGTGGTTTTGTAGCAGAAGCAGGAAGGCAAACAGATTTTTCCAGAACTGATCTGAGACGGGTGGTATCCAGACTGGAGCCCCTGGAAGGCGTCTCAGAGGAAGAAGGGTATGGCGTGCACCCAGAGGGATGGTCCAGGCAAAGGGAGTGGCCTGCTCGCAGGGACAGTGGCCAAAAGGAACCTGGCAGGAAAGAGAGATGGTGAGTGGCCCAGGACTGTGAGAGAGGGTGGGCAGAGGCAGCTGTGCAGGCCACGAAGAGGCTGGGTATGGCCCAAACCAAGCAGCACTTGTAGGCCCTGGGGTGCCGAACAGGCCAGGAGCTTATAATGTGGTGGGGAAGATAGGCCATCCCTAAACAAGCAAGCAAGCTATAAATCAGGGAAATGGGTAATGTGAAAATGACGACTCTCTGGTGGGTGCAAGGTAGGGTCTGGAGGCTGCTGTGGGGAAGGCAGAGAGGGCGAGGCATGATTTTAGTCTCCAGTAGTAAAGAGCATAAAGGTGCTGAGGTGGGACATGAACCTGCTGTATCAAAGAGCAAAGAGCGGGCCATAGTGCCTGAGGCAGCGTGAGTGAGGGGGCAGGCATGAGGAGAGGCTGGTGCTGCAGGTGAGTCTCAGCTTGTATAGGGCCCCAGGGCCTTAACAGGGTTTTGCCACGATAATGCCATAACGGCCTTAAACAGGGGAAGATCCTTTTGGCTTATGTGTGGGGGACAGACTCAGGGTTTGTGAGAGGTGGCGGGGGTGAGGAAGAGGCAAATGCAGGTGCCGTGAAGGGGACAGCAGAGACATGGGCCGGGTGGTGGATGTGCAGAGAAGTGGACAGATATAGGAACGTCTGGGGAGCAGAGCCACTGCCTTTGCTCCTGGAAGGAGAGGAAGCAGCTGGACTCGGGGTGGCTGAGAGGGCTGAACAGAGAGGAGCAGTGGAGCCTGAAGGCTTCTGGGGAAGTGAGGTCCTGAGCACATGGCCTGGGGACCACCAGGGCCCTCCCGAGCCCGTCTGAAGGGCCAGAGCTCCCTCCTCTCTGAAGTGAGGACTCGGGCCGCCAGGGAAGCCTTCCCGAGACAGACTTCTGTAGGTGCACAGGATAATGGGATTCCCGTATTAGCCGGGATTGTTCCCACGATGATTCATGTCTTAGTCATAAATGTGGCCATGTGCAGGAAAGGGAACAGCCACTCTGCACCCGGGGATTCCTGCAGGTATTCTCAGAGCCCGGCTGGGTTTGGGCCTCTGCCACACATGGCACTCTGAGGGTTTGCCTTGGAGCTGAGCGGTCTCTGTGCGCCTGTTACATTGGACTGGAGCTGTCTCTTTCTCTTGGACCCTGCATTTGTTGTTTAACCTGCGCGGTCCCTCTCTGCTCTGGTTCATCGTTTGGGTCTGTGTCTGCTCTCCCTGACACCGAGGAGTTGTTTCGGGGGTCTGTCTTTTTTTCTCGCTGGCACTGGATTTCATTTGGGGTCCATCTGCTTCCTCCTTGATGCTGGGTTTTATTTTCAGCCTAGGCCACTTCTCTCTACCCCAGGGCCCTGGGTCATCTCTCAGTGGCCTAGGCTTGTGTTCGGATCCCCTGCCTCCTGTTCTTGACTGTGTTGTTTGGAGTTGGGCCACCTCTCTGTCTCCAGGGCTGGGCTTTGGTACCTGGATCATCTCTTGACTGAGGGCTGTGTGGGGCCTGTGCCCTCTCCTTGGCTGCAGACTGGGTTAGCGCCTGGGTCACCTCTCCACCGACTGTGGTGAGCTCTCACCTGCCCCAGGTTCTGTCCAGGCCTTTATTCCCTTGTGTATTCTCAGTCGGCTCTTTCAGGACCTTGGCGTTTTTATTTTGGCACCTTGGGGAGCTCTTCTTGAATTTGGGTTTCGGGGTTCCCTCCATCCCCAGCGTCAGGATCCAGGGGTGAAGTCAGGCCATCTGGGAGGAGACAACCTGGGAGCCTCGTTCTCACCTCAGCACTGAGGGAGCTGTGGGAGACATGGGACCCAACGTCCTCTTTATAAATGCGCAAACCGCGGCTCACAGATGTGGAAGCTCTTGCCTAAGGCCGTGCTGCAAGCTAGGGCAGAGCCAGGCCTCCCTACATCTTGCCTGTTCTATCTTGTGCATGCGAATCAAGTGTAGAGTGTGTGTGTGTATGAGCTGGGCGCTGAGGGAATGTCCCCTGTGTGTCTCTGTTCTGCTGAACTATCAGATGAGTGGTGCGTGTTGCTGCTTCAGCCTGTGTCACATGTGTGGGTGAGGTGTCCTGGGCACACGTCAGTGGTGGCATAGAATGGCTGTATGTGCTTGCACATGTAATGTGTGTGCATGTTGGTCTGCAGGAGGATATTTGGTTTTTTTCCAGCCTTGTGTCTAGCCCTCAGTTGAAGGCTGACTAATGTTCCCTTGAGCCAGAGTGAAATACCCCTTTTGAATCAGCCAGCGCATTCTGAAAGGGATTCAGGATACACTAGCCAGGCCTCAGCCAATATACCCTTCTCTCTGTCCCATCCTTCACATCAGACCCGGACCCCAGCACCCCTGCCCCTGGGGACCACGTGCATCCTTCTCCAAAGTCGCATCCGCTGAGCTATTCCCTGGCCCTGTGTGCAGGGAGTGGCTTCAAACATCTACATCGCTAGTGTCTACCAGGGCCAGGAAATGGTGTTCATGCCCTTACCTTGCGGTTTCCAGCTCCTCCTTTTACTCACTAGTACCCTTGCCTTTCTGAGACCCAGTTTCCTCACCTATAAAATGAACTAGGAGTGGCTCAGGGAGCTGTTAGGAGGATACAAGATAATCTGTGTGAAGTGCTATCCAGCATGGAGCCTAGCACATAGTAAGCACTTAATAAATGTGACCTGTTGCTAATCGGTACCACAGAAGAGATAAAACCAAGGCCTGAAGTGGGTCCCAGAGCAGGTCGGTGTCCAGACTCAGGCTACCGGCATGCTACTGGGACAGGAAGCGGGGAAGGCACCACTGGTGGGTTTTATAAAGCAGGTTCCTAATGATGAACTTGATAGGGTAGAGGACAGAGAAATGGCTGGACAGCCAGGCAGGACAGAGGTGGCAGGAGGCTGTTACAGCAGATGGGCTCAAGCAGGGCCTGGGTGGCCCCAGGTGCACTCCTGGAGCCCGTCCAGGCTGCCAGCTCCTTTTGATCTTTTCCACTCTCTCTTCTTCACCCCCCTTTCTCTCTCAAAGGTGACTGTGATCCTCTCTAACTGCCCGTCTCTGTCTTCCACTCCTCTCCCCTGCCCTCCCCTGCTTCCCCTCCAGCAGAAGGCGGACCTGGCTGTAGCTGCGTTCACCATCACAGCCGAGCGCGAGAAGGTTATCGACTTCTCCAAGCCCTTCATGACCCTGGGGATCAGCATCCTCTACCGAGTGCATATGGTACACTTCTGGGGACGGTGGGCTGCAGCCTGACGTGGAAGCTAGAGGCAGGGGCTGCAAGTGGGAACTGGACGCCTACTGGACCGCGGACAGGGCATTCTGGCTCCTGGGTCCCTGGCAGGGGCGGAGGTTGAACACATGGCTCAGGTCTGGGGCAGCTCTGCGTTTCACTCTCTCTGCCTACAGGGCCGCAAGCCTGGCTACTTCTCCTTCCTGGATCCCTTCTCCCCTGCTGTGTGGCTCTTCATGCTCCTTGCCTACCTGGCTGTCAGCTGTGTCCTGTTCCTGGCTGCCAGGTGAGTCCACAGCCTGCAGCCTAGGAAGGAGGGATGGGATGGAGGCATGATCTGGGCCGTGCGACCGACCCGCATGTTTCCTCTTCTGCTGGCCCCTCCACTTTGGGGTCTTGGATCCCCTCTGCCTTCCTTTCTCTCTCTGTTTTGTTGCCTGTGTGTCTCTGCCCATCTCTCTCTTGCTCCCCTTCTCCCATCCGTCCCTTCTTTTTTGATCCCTGTGACTCCTCCTTCCTCCATTTCTCTCCTTTTCCTCCACACTGCGGCCCCCTCCACTTGCCCATTTCTCCACAGGCTGAGCCCCTACGAGTGGTATAACCCCCACCCGTGCCTGCGGGCACGTCCTCACATCCTGGAGAACCAGTACACGCTGGGGAACAGCCTCTGGTTCCCTGTGGGGGGCTTCATGCAGCAGGGCTCAGAGATCATGCCCCGGGCGCTGTCCACGCGCTGTGTCAGCGGAGTCTGGTGAGGTGCTTTCTATTTACTCTGGCAGGGCTGGGAGGGACCTCTGAGTTCTGGAGGCTGAGGGCACTGCTGTGTTCTTCCAGAGGGTTCCCTGTTCCTCACCACGAGCTGTAGGAATCCGGGAGATCTTGTGGCACTGGCCAGCATCCTCGTAGGCATCAGCCTCATCCCACACTCCCTTCTTCTACTCTCTGGCCAGGCCTTGAGTTTGTTGCCTGGAGTTCGCTACAGTTACTGCAACTCCTATCACCTCATTCTCATAGGAATACAAGAAAGAGAAATATTAGGATGGGGAATGTTCTCCTTGCTTTGTGGATTAGAAGACCTCGAAAGAAGGAGCGGCTTGTTAAAGAGTGTGCATTCAGCTAGCGGAAGGGCCAGGCTGGAACTGGGCCCATACCTTGTGCCAGCCCTCAGATCTGCCTAGGCCCAGTCTGGCCCTAAGGCCCACAGTAGGTTCTCAGGGCCACCCAGCCATCTAGCCTTCTAGAGCACTTCCTCCTCTCCTCCCCCATCAAGCGCCGGCACCCATGGCCACTCCACAGGGGCCTGTCCAGCCCCTCCGAGTGCCAGGCACTCATGGAAGAGTCAGTCCTATCCCTGCCCCCCAGAGGCAGCTGAGACTGCGCAAGTAAACACATAAGCGCTGGGTGTCGGATTTTATTTAAAGGTTGTGTCTCAAAGACACCATCTAATTTGAAACCTGTTCAAGACTAACCTTAATGGGCAGCAGATTCCCCTCTCTCCCAGCTAAGTGGAACTAACTGCCATCTGGCACTCATTTGCATTTCCCTTGGTCCACTGGCTTTGAAACTTGCAAGTCTTAATGGTTTTTAAATGTTTTTGAATTTGCATCATTTCTAACGGTACCCCTGTATTTCTGTCCAGTGGCTGGAAAAAAAATATAGTTTAAAGTAACACAAATGTATTATCTAACAATTCAGGAGGTCATAAGTCCAAAAGAGGCTAAAATCGAATTGTTGCAGTGCCAGTTGCTTTTGGAGACTCCAGGGGAGAAGCCTTTTCTTCCCTTTCGCAGCTTCTAGAAACCATCTTCATCCTTGGCTCACAGCCCCTTCCTCTATCCTGAAAGCAGAAATGTGACACCTTCCAGTCTCTGACTCTGACTTCCTTTTTCCGCTTATAAGGACCCTTGGGATTTTCTTGGGTAATTTGGACATTATCTTCCCATCTCATCTGCACTTAATCACATCTTAATCACATAACCCACTCACACCTGTGAAGTATCTTTTACCGTGTGAGGTGACGTATTCATGTAGGACTTAGGATGTAGACATCTTTGGTGGTGGTGGTGGTGGGAAGGGGCTTATTCAGCTACCACACAGCCTGAGTGAAATGTAGGAATATGTTCAATGTAAGGATGTATCAGATGAACATAAGATGCACTGTTGAGAAACACACAGGGCGTCGTGACAGAACAGCAGAGAATGGCCTCCTAAGGACTCATCCAGACTGAGTCCTAAAGGCCAACATGGAGTCATCCACACCAAGGAGAGGGAGGCGCATTCACAGGGGCAGGAGAGAGTGAGTGTGTAAGGAGGTGGCTACAGAGAGAGCTTGAGGAGCGTTGCCATGGCAAATCTAGCCACATTCCCTCATCAGGCAGCAGACCAGTGGTGTCCCCTGCCCCCATCTCTCTTAGCAGTGCTCTGGGGCTTTGCACAGAGCTATAGCCCAAGCCCTTTAAAGGATTTTTTAATTTTGAATGGTTTTACTAAGTCACTAAGTTGCCCAGGCTAAGAGTGGACTGCGAAGCTCCTGCCTCAGTCTCACAGAATGCTGGCATTGCAGGCGTGCGCCGCTGCCCCCGGTTAAGCGGCCTTTCTGTCTGCAGTCCTTCTGGTCCTTGGTCAGGGACCCTCTCCCTGAGGATCATGCTTCCCAGTTGAGTATTCTCTGCCTCTTCCCCTCTCTGTCACCCAGGAGGCTCCTGCTCATATCCCCTCCCTCACTGGCACTGTTGGCACCAGGACACTTTTTCTGCAGTCCAAGTCTTCCCTCCCACACATTTGTGCCTTTGACAGATGTATGTGACCCCAGCACAGTGACTCAGCAGGCCAGGCCCCGGCCCTTTTGGGACTGACATTCCAGGGGTGGGGTGATGGGAGTTTGGTGCCATCATCCTCAGGTGCTTCACTGGCACCTGACGCACATCGGCCTCGCCAGGACCTTCGTCCTGGGCCCCTGGACTTCAGTGCCCATTCAGCCCACTGCCTTCTGCAGCCACACCCACCATTCAGGACAGCTCTGCCTGGGGAACCAGCATTTCCAAAGCTTCTCTCTGACCACACCCCGTGCCCCCTGGTCACGCCGTTACCGGAGTCTCTTGATCGCCCTCTCCCTGTTCTCTAAGCTCTGCTTGCTTTCATGGACGCCTGTCTCCAGGAAGGCCACCCTCAGCCACTGTCCTCAGCCCTTCCCCAGGCCCTCCTTTCCTCACATCCTTCTGCAGGAGAACCCCAAAACTTCAGCTCTAGCCACACCTGGCCTCTCCCCTCCTCCCATGCCTGACTCCGCAGGGTGGAATGAGACTGCTTATTCATACATTCAGTCCTTGTCTTACCCGCAGGCAGTCTGTGTCATTAGTCACCTCCTTCTACAGACTGTCCTTGCTCCGGGGCTGCTGTGCCCTTCGTTTCCTCTGGCTGCGTGGTCCTCAGCTTCATTTTGCAATGGATTCCTTTTCCCTGTGCCGTTGCTCACACAGCCTTCTCCCTCCACACCAGTGAGGGCTCCATGCGCACACCTAACGCCCTCGTTTTCTAACAAACTTTGCTTTTATTAATACATGTTTACAGTACATAATGATTGCATTCATTGTGGGGGTTGGTACATGTACATAGCACATCTCAATTCTTTTTATGTCCTCTTCCTCCCTCCTCTCTCTATCCCTTGGCCCCCTAATGCACTCTTTTTGAAACAAATACTTTTTAACATTTCTTTTTCTATCCTGAGCTGAAATTCAAAGGTAATGTATTTATCTACACACATAATTTTAAAAAAATCAATATGATATCCTAATTATAATATGAAGGAGAAAAAAAGGGAAACTACGGTAATATGATAGCAGTACATAAATGCATGGGTGTGGCTACACCGGAAGACAAAATGCAAAGTTTCAAGCCGGACATGGTGGCACATGCCTGTAATCCCAGGAAGGGATTACTCGGGAGGCTGAGGCAGGAGGATTGTTTCAAGTTCGAAGGCTGCATAGGCTACAAAGTGAGCTCAAGGCCAGCCTGAACTGCATAGTGAGATCCTGTCTCTAAAAGACAAAAAATAAAAAAAAAAATTAAAATGCAAAGTTTGGAATGACAAGAAGTAAGATCGTTTATTAGAACTTATTGGCACTTGTTATTGGACACTTGGAAATAGCTGGGAAATGAGCGTTTGCGCAAATACTGTGAGCAGGATGACTTGCTAATGCAACTGGACCAAGCTTCTTGACTCAGGGACTTCAATACAAGTGGAGTAGTTGTCTGAGATGTGACTTTCCAACATGGGGAATTGGCAGAGTTCCACACAAGATGGCATCCGGTTCCTCAGTTTGCACAAGAGATGCATTTCTGGAGGTTTGGGTTTCTATTATAACCATGCAAAAAAATGTGAGTTTCCTCGTACCAAGGAGCCACGTACTGGCTGTGATTACCTAGGCATACGTACTTACTGGTAGTCACATACTGTGTTGCTGTCAGTCCCAAAGGGGCAGGGACCTGGCTTGCTGAGTCATTGTGCTGGGGTCACATCTGGAGACACACATCTGTCAAACGAAGAAATGTGTGGGAGGACTTGGAGTATAAAGAGAGTGCTCCTGGAGCCAGTGGCCCAGTGAGGGAAGGAGCATGACTGGTGGCGTCCTGGGTGACCTACTGGAACCACCCTGACCGGCAGAGTCCCTACACTGTACCAAACACCTTCCCTGCTCCTCCCGTCCGCACCCCGCCAGAGACCACCGCTCCACATTCCTTCAGGGCCATCTCTCCCACTCCTGGGCTTGCCTTGCTAGCCACACATTGACGCATCCACCGTCCTCATGTATCCAGCCAGCTTGGGCTGCTCCTCTTGGCCGCCTGACAGGCATGTCCAAACTACACATTTGTTCTCAGATCTGACTCCTCACGTGTGTGCTTCCCCCGCTGTCTTTTTTTTTTTTTTTTTTTTTTTCTGTTTTTGAGGCAGGGTCTCACTATGCAGTTCAGGCTGGCCTTGAGCTCACTTTGTAGCTCAGGCTGGTCTCGAACTCGTAACGATCTTCCTGCCTCAGCCTCCCGAGTGCTGGGATTACAGGCATGTGCCACCACGCCCGGCCCCTCCTGCTGTCTTTCAGCAAGTGGCCCCATCATCACTGTCCTGCCCAGTTGCCACCACCAGTCAGCCAGGCTGCGTCCTCAAGGGCTGTCATGGTGTCTGGTGTGTACCAGCCCTGGATAATTTTGTTTTGAGTGAACAACAACATTGACCTGCGGGGTGGCTTGGTTTCTGGAGAGGTCATGTCATTCCTGTCTTGTGTGTTGGGGTTTGGGTTCCGTGTGTGCAGGAAGCTGTTTTATTATCTTCCTGTCAAGCTCTGCATGACACCCCCTCCCCACCCAGTGCCTAGCAGTTTGCAGAGGCCAGCTGCTATTTTTACTATTATCTATCTTGGGTGGGGGTTGGGACCTGGGAGGCCCTCAGCCTCCCTGTCTTCAGCACCTCAGATCTGTGTGGTCTGCAAGGAACTCAGAGAGGGCCAGGATGAGACAGTGCTGCCCTACCGTCCTGAAGCCAGTCTGGTGGGCGCCTCCCCTCCCAAGTCAGTCCTGTATCACCCGGACAATAGGAGCAGATGCTTAGCAGGGCAGAGCATGCTTAGCACATGCCTGTAATCCCAGCACTCTGGGAAGCTGAGGCAGAATAGTGGCAAGTTCATGCTCAGCCCGAGCAGCTTAGTGACTCAGCAAGAGCTTATCTCAAAATAAAAAAAGGGCTGAGGGTGTAGCTCAGCGTGAAGATCCTGGGTTCAAATCCCAGTGCCCCTCACACACAGCGATACTGTGTGTGCCGGATTGACTCATTCCTCCCAGAACTCCATGAGGAAAGGCCTGTGTTTGTACATACTTCACAGGTAAGACCACTGAAACTCAGTTTCAAGGTCATCCAGCTGCACAGCAGTTGAGCCAGGATTGGGGGATTTTCCAGAGATGTTTCTATTATTGATTTCTAATTTAGTTCCATTGTGGTCAGAGAACATTCTCGGTAGCAGTCTAATCCTTTTAAATTTAGAGACTTGTCTTGCGGCTCAGCATATGGTCTGTCCTGGTGACCATTCTGTGTATACTGGTACTGGGCGTGTATCCTGCCGTTGGTGGGTGTAGTGGTCTGTAAATGTCAGCAAGGCATTGATAGTGTTGTGCAAGGCTTCTGTAGCCTTACTGATTTTCTGTCTACTTGTCCTAATAATACTTAAGAGAGGAGTGTTGAGGTCTCTGCTTATAATTGCAGACAAATTATGTATTTCTGTTTTTAGTTCTATCAGTTTTTGCTTCATGAATTTTGAAGCTCTGTAATTAGGTACATAAGTGTCCAGAATGGATATGCCTTTTTTTTTTTTTTTTCCCTAGTATCGGGGATGGAATTCAGGGACTCTCCCAAGCTGAGCAAGTGATCTAGCACTGAGTTATATCCTCAGCTCACAACTTTTAGAATTCTGTTTATCTCCACTATTAACTTGTTAACTAACTACGCTTCTTTTGTTTTATTTTTCTTAGTGGTTGCTCTGGGTTTATAATGTGCATCCTTTTTATTTTCTTCACAGTATTGGAGATTGAGCCCCCTTTGCACTGAGCTACATCTCCAGCCTTTATAGTTTTTTATTTAGAGACAGAAAAATAAAAGATAAAATCTCACTCAGTTACCTAGGCTGGCCTCGAACTTGTGATCCTTCTCCCTTAGCCTCCCAGAGTGCTGGGATTACAGGTTTGTGCCGCCACACCCTGCTTAATAAGCATCTTTAATTTATTACACGATAATTTGAAGTAACATACCACTTCACATAAGATGTAAGACCCTTACAGCACCATTTATATTACTTTTGCATATCTTGTGAACTCCACACTATATTAAGTTTGTGTGTGTGTGTGTGTTTGTTTTAAATAGTAAATGTCTTTCAAGGAAGTTTTTAGGGGTAGGGAAATAGCTCAGTGTTAGAACACCTGCCTAGCATGCAGAAGGTCCTGGGTTTGATCCCCAGTCCCACAAAAAGAAAGAGGAAGAAGGAAGGGAAGTGGGGCAGACAGGAGGGAGGATTTTTTTAAATGGGGAATGCCTTTTATATTACTTGCATAGGGCCGGGCATATAGCTCAGTGGTACAAGTGCCTGCCTGGCAAGCGCACGGTCCTGTGTTCAATTCCCAGTACCCTCCCCGCCAATATATATATATATATATATTACTTGCATAATTTCTGGTATTCCTCATTCCTTCTTGTGCACCCACATTCCCATCTAACATATTTTCCTTTGGAAGAATTTTTAATGTTTCTAGAAAATGCAAGTCTGCTGGCAATTAATTCTCTCAGCATTTGTATGAAAAATATTTCCACTGGCCAGACATAATGACACATAACTATAATCAGCTACATTTGTTATTTTTATTTTGAGACAGGGTCTTCATAAGTGGCCTTCGTGAGGCTTGAACTTGTAATTCTCCTAGAGTGCTGGGGTTGCAGGCATGTGCCACCACACCTGGCTATGCCTGGCATTATTTTGATTTTTCTTTCAGTGTATTGTTGCACTGTCTTTTGGCTCACGTGCCCTGATGCTATGTTTTCACTGTTATCTCTGTCTTAATGTATGTAACATGCTGCCCTGCATCCACCCCAGGCAGCTTTTAAAGTTTTATTTTTATTGCTAGCTTTGTGCAACTTTTTTTTTTGCCTGTACCAAGAATTGAACTCATGACCTTGCGCTTGCCAGGCAGGCGCTGTGCTGCTGAGCTAAACCCCCAGCCCCTTTATTGCCAGCTTTTAACAATTAATTATCATGTGCCTTAGTGTGTTTTGTATATACCTGTGTTTATATTACAGGGGATTATTGAGCTTTTTTAGGTCTGTAAGATTACAGTTTTTGTCAGATTGGAAAAACTTTTAGGCCATTACTTTTTTTTTTTTTTTTTTTTTTTTTCTTTTTGAGACAGGGTCTCTCTCACTATGCAGTTCAGGCTGACCTTGAGCTCACTTTGTAGGCCAGGCTGGCCTTGAACTTGCAACGATACTCCTGCCTCAGCCTCCTGAGTGCTGCCATTACTTTTCCTTATATGTTTTCTGTAGGCTCTTTCTCCCTTTCTGGGACTCCAGTCACATCTGTAAAGGCCCCTGGATACTATTCCTCAGGCTACTGATGCTCTATGCTCACCTTCAGTCATTTTTGCTCTTTGTTATCTTTGTTTTGGATGGATTTTATTTATTTATTTTTAATTTTTATTTGTTTGTTTGTTTTCTGGTACTGGGGATCGAACTTACGATCTTGTGCTTGCTGGGCAGGTGCTGTGCCACTGAGCTAAATCTCCAGCCCCTTGGATGGATTTTATTGCTGTCTTCAGTTTCTCTGATCTTTTCTGCTGCAGTATCTGTCCTGTATAATCCTGTGCAGTAAACTTTTATTTTCAGATATTGTGTATTTTATCTCTAGAGGTTTCCTTCACTTCTTTTTTTATGTGTTCTATTTCTCTCCTATTATTTTCCTGTTTTTCTTCATATTCTGAGCATTCCAGTTGTTACTTGTAATAGCTGTTGTAATGTACTTATCTGAGTTTTCCATCGTCTCTGTCAATTCTGAGTCAGTTTCAGTTGAGAGATTTTTCTCTTGGTTGTTGGTCATATCTTCCTGCACCTGTGTAGATTTGGTCATTTTTTTAATTAGATGACAGACACTGTGAATCTTACATTGTTTACATTGGGGAACATGTTTCTTTAGAGTCTGGCCCTTCTGGCTTGGAGTGTAGCTGAGTAGTAGAGCATGTGCTTAGCACCACAAAAACAAACAAAAAACCATTCCAAGTATCCTGGGCTTTTTCTGGCAGTGACTTGTAAATTATTTTGATCTGGGAAGGCCTGTTGTTAAGCTCCTGTAGGGCAGGCTTGGTGTTGCCTCTATTCTAGGGCCCACTTAACCCAATTGCTAATATGTTGCACTTTTGCTTCTCTGATGAGTAACTCATGGGCTTAGGAATATTGCTACTTTGGCGGGAGGAAGCTCAACCAGTTTCCAGCCCTGGGGAAACACTGGGAATTGTTCTCTCCTTGAAAGTTTTTCTTTTCTGGCTCCATGGAGTTTCACCCTATACCACTCACAGATTGATGTTCAGCCAGACTTACGGGGACCCTCACCCTCTGTGTAGCTCCCTCCTCTCGAAGATTCTGTCCCACAGATCCCAGCCGTCTTGCCCCGACCCTGAATCCTGCCATCTTTGATCTCCATCTCAGAACTCTGCAGGATTGCGGGACTGTTTGGGTTTCCTTACCGCGCTACAGTCTGTAAATTAAATGGAGCAGGACAGCCTGGATGGTGATAGGGCTCACTTTTCACTTTCTTTGGGGATCGCTGTCCCGTGATGCCTCTTGTCCTCTGTCTTTAAATGGTTCTGTATTCATTTGGTCCATTTTTCTAGCTGTTGATAGCAAGAGGGTATTTCCAGACTATCTTACTCTCTTATACCTGGAAGTGGAAGTCTGTGGGTGAAATATGTGAACCTAGGGGGTCTGGCTTCAGAATCGTGGCCTGTCCACTGGTCTGCAGTCACTGATCCTTTTGAATATCAGGGCCACTGTGGGGGAGGGGGGCACCACCAATGGGCACATGGTCGTCAAGGTGGCAGGGATGGCTCCAGCCTGTAGCTCACCCCTCCCCCCCTCAGGTGGGCCTTCACCTTGATCATCATCTCCTCCTACACGGCCAACCTGGCCGCCTTCCTCACCGTGCAGCGCATGGAGGTGCCTGTGGAGTCAGCTGACGACCTGGCAGATCAGACCAACATTGAGTACGGCACTATCCACGCTGGCTCCACCATGACCTTCTTCCAGGTAGGGCCGCCCTGATCCTCCCTGCTGTGCACATAGCTCCAGTTGGGATTAGGCAGGGCCTCCACAGTAGTCAGGGATGCTGGGGAGCAGAAGATACACTCACGCTGTCATGGAAGCATTGCTGTTTGGCTGGGGACCTGGGCTTTCAATGGAAGAATGGGAACAGATGTGGGGCCTGAGGTTGAATCGGTGCCTTCAGTACAGGACAAGGAAGGGCTAGGAGGCTGCTGAAAAGGTTGGGGCTAGGACCGTGGGCCAGCAGAGAGGAGGAAAAGCCCTGCATGGTGAAAGGAGCTTGACCCCTTGTGTTTGGGATAGTGGGAAGGAAAGGGCAGGTGGGAACAAGGACTGACCCTTTGGAGTTAGAAATTCTCTCAGAGCTGGGTTGGGGTAGACCAGTAGTTGGAAGGAAGCCAGAGCTGGACAGGGACCGCTGGCTGGAGGTCAGAGGAAATGAGGTGGAGGTGAACTCCTGGATCTCCCAGGTAGACTAGGTTGGGAGGCGGCTGTGCCAGTGAGGGGTAGTGGGGCACCCAGGAGGAACAGGTGTGGGGATGACTTGGACCTGCCTTAGTCTGTTCTCTCTCCTCTGTCTTCAGTTCTGTCTTCCTCTACTCTCCTCCCTCTCTCAGGTTGAGGGAGACCCCCAGGGGGAAGGGCAGGGGTGGAGAGGCCCTCACCTCTCTCGCCTTGTGCTTTCCCTGCCCAGAACTCGAGGTACCAGACGTACCAGCGCATGTGGAACTACATGCAGTCGAAGCAGCCCAGTGTGTTCGTCAAGAGCACAGAGGAGGGCATTGCCCGTGTCCTCAACTCCCGCTATGCCTTCCTGCTCGAGTCCACCATGAACGAGTATCACCGGCGCCTCAACTGCAACCTCACCCAGATTGGGGGCCTCCTCGACACCAAGGGCTACGGCATCGGCATGCCGCTGGGTATGGCCGCAGCACGGTGTGGAACAGGGGGCCCTGTGCATCCGGAGCTGAGATGTGTGAGCAGGCTTGGGACTGGGCCAGGCCCTCCCTTAGGCAGGCTGGGGGTGCTTTAGTTGGCCTCAGGCAGGTGTCATCACCATCCTGAACCTCTGCTCGCGACCTGAAAAATGGGCCTAGGAGCAGGCTGCTGGAAGACTTTAGTGAATGTTTGTGTACAGCTCAGTACATGTGGGTCATAGGCTTTGGGGTCTTCCTCCATTGGGCCAAGGGCCCTCTGAGGGTGAGAGCTGGGTTTTATTTGCTTCATATGCTCTGTATCAGGCCTGCGGCTTGGCTCAGAGCCAGTGCTCGGAAAATGCTGGACAGGTAGAAGGATGAGTGGGAGAAAGGAAGGAAGCAAGGTAGGAAAGATCTGCAGGGAGACTTGGATATATCCATTTATTCTTCAGGACATGCATCCAGGGCTCCGTGCAATCCACTACCAACTTGTCTCCATTTTTTTTTTTTTTTTGTCAGTACTAGGGATTAACCCAGGGATTCTGCACTGAGCTACATCCCCAGCCCTTTTTTTATTTTTTATTTTGAGACAGGGTCTCACTAAATTGCTAAGTTGCCCAGACTGGGTTTGAACTTGTGATCCTCTTGCCTCAGCCTTCCAGTGTTGGTATTATAGGTGTGGTCCATTGTGTCCACCTGGCATTTTGGAATTTAAAATCATCTATGTGCTGATGGTGCCTGCATCAGTTGCCTGTGACTGCACAACAAATTGCCCAGATCCTAGCCGCTTTGCAGGAGACTTGATACTGTGCTCTGGAAGTAGTGTAGCCTCCTGCTTTGGGGACAGGCTCTGGAGTCACACCAACCTGTATTCAGATCCCCCTTTGCTTCCTGACTCAGTACATAACTTTAGGCAAGGGAACCACCTCCTCATTCAGAAATGCCTGCCCCAGGGGGCAGTGTCTGCCTCATAGGGTCATTGTGAGACTTGAATGAATTTTTGTAAACCCAGGGCCTAGCACAGAGGAGATGCCTGATAAACATTAACCTTTGCACTCAGCCATATCCCTGCTTCCTGGCCTTTGGTAGAAGTTCAAGTAGTATTTTAGTAAACAAGGAAAGAGAGCCAGGTGTGGTGGTGCATGCCTATAATCCCAGCACTTGGGAGGCTGAGGCAGGAGGATCCTTTCAAGTTCCAGGTGAGCCTGGGCTACAAAGTGAGCTCAAGGCCAGCCTGAACTGCATAGTGAGACCTTGTCTCAAAAAGACAAAAAAAAAGAAAAAGAAAAAAAGAAGTACGGGGAGGGTGTGGAGGGGCCCAAGGGTGGTTGAAGGGGAGGACATGGGAGTGAGGAGGTGCAGAGAGGAGGGGAGGACAGGGATCCATTCTCTCAGCAGACTGGTCTGCTGCCCTTCCTCTGCACTGGACTCTGGGAAAGCACAGCAGGGCAACTGCCATGCCCCTACCTCTGCTGCCTTCCAGGCAGGGCCGTGGGCAGCAGAGACCATGAACACAGAGCCGTGTCCTGGGACATCGGGTGGTGAAGTGTTCTGACACAGTGCGGGAGAAGAGACTGACAGGAAGTGGGGTGCTTGGTGCCTTTTAAAATAAAATGGTCGGGGCTGGGGATTTAGCTCAGCGGCAAAGTGCCTGCCTGGCAAGTGCAAGGTCGTGAGTTCGGTTCCCGGTACCTGAGAAAAACCAAGAAAAAAAAAAAGAAAACAAAATAAAATAAAATGGTCTTAGAAGGCTCCTGAGGAGCCGGCGCTGAGCAGAGAGGCCTGAGTGGTGAGGAGAAGGCATTCCAGGCAGAGCCTAAGGTCCTAAAGTGGGACCATGCTTGGGAGATTTGGGAATCTGCCAGGAGGCCATTGTGCCTGAGCTGAGAGAGCCTTGAGCCGGGGCCCCTGCGAGCGGTGGCCTGTGAATGTGGCCTCTTGTTGGCCAAGGCCAGGGCCTCTATCTAGCGGTTTAGGTTGGGGTTTCGGGTGGCCAGGGCCCCAACAGCAACCCTTCTTGTGTGCCTGGCCCAGGCTCCCCGTTCCGGGATGAGATCACACTGGCCATCCTGCAGCTCCAGGAGAACAACCGGCTGGAGATCCTGAAGCGCAAGTGGTGGGAGGGGGGCCGGTGCCCCAAGGAGGAGGACCATCGAGCTAAAGGTCAGCCACCCGCACCTGCAGCGTGCCCTTCCCGAGGAGCCCCCTGGTGGCCCCCATGCCCACACAACCCCGCCCCTGTGGCTGTCCCCCGCCACCCCCAGGTTTGGGCATGGAGAACATTGGCGGCATTTTTGTCGTGCTCATATGTGGCCTCATCATTGCTGTCTTTGTGGCGGTCATGGAGTTCATCTGGTCCACGCGGAGGTCAGCAGAGTCCGAGGAGGTGAGAGGGCTGGCAAGGTGGGGTCAGGGAGAGAAGGACCCCAGGCCCGAGGCCTGTGAAGGCTGAGGCAGTGGGAGCCACAGCCGGCAGACGGTGGGGATCTGGAGGAGTGGGAGGAGGCATGCGGGAAGGAGGAGGTACCTAGTGGGCTAAGAGGTGAGCGCACTGCTGGGGTGACAAGGCCCAGGAGAGGTGCAGACAGCAGAGGGGGACAGGGGATCCAGGCCATGAGAAAGCCCAGGGAGCAGGAGAGCCGGGAAGCCTCACGACACAGGGCAGGAGGCGAGGGGGCACAGAGGAGTGCAGGGAGCCGCAGAGGTAAAGCGAGAAGGGAAACGAGTGACCAGAACACAGGTGAGCGAGCAGCACCCTGCTGTCAGGATCGCTGCTTCCGGAGGTCCTTGGGTGCCGCCAGCTCCTCCTCTTGCATTTCTGGACCATTCCTGTTCTCACCCCCAAAACTGTCAGTGCCTCCTGCCCCTCTCCGCCAGCCTCCCCTCCACACTTCCAGCGGCAGGCTGAGTCCCCTCTGTGACCTGCAGCCTGCATCCAGCCACGCACATTCTCCTCCACTCGGCCCGTCTGCCCCTACCTGTCCCCGATGAGCCCCCTCACCTTGCTGAGAACAGCCCTCCCGCAGTTCTCTCCCGTCCTCCTGCGTCTCGGCCATCCTCCCTGTCAGACCGAGCCCTCAGTGTACAAACGCGCTGCTGTTCCTCCCGCCTTATGGAAGGCCCGGCTGGACCCCGCTCCTCCCGGATTCTGTACCACCTGACCTCTCTGCTCCTTCAGGCTCCAAGGGCTGTGTCTCTCTGCCCTTTCCCGCTTCTTTCCTCCAGTTCAGTTTTGGGCCTGCTCCAGTTCAGCTTCTGTCTCCACCAGTCCGTTCTTGTCACCAGCAACCTCCACAGCTGGTACCCAGTGCCTGAGCCTCAGGCCCCATTTCTGTGCCGGCAGCAAGCTTCAGTACTATCCATTATTGTCTCTCCTCAGCACCTTTTCCCTTCTGCTTGCCTCTCCTCTCTTCCTCCCTTTCTGGCTACTCCTTCCCAGGCTCCTTTGTGCTGTCCCTCATTCTCCCCAGCCTCTTTGTTGGGGGGCGGGGATTCTAGGGCTCCATCCTCAGATTGCTTCTCTTTCTCCATTTGTCCCATGAAGGGTTTGTTTGTTTGGTTGGTTGGTCTTTTTGAGACAGGGCCTCCTCACTAGGCAGTTCAGGCTGGCTGACCTTGAGCTCACTTTGTAGACCAGGCTGGTCTTGAACTTGCAGTGATCCTCTTGCCTCAGCCTCCAAGTGATGGAATTACAGGCATGCGCCACCACGCCCGGTCACATGAAGGGCTTTTAAAACCATGGTGTACGGATGACTCTCTATTGCTGCTGTAACAAATTAACAGCCTAAAGATAGCCAGCTTGTATCAGCTCAGTTTCAGGGCCCAGGAACTGGAAGCAGCTTAGCTGGGTGGTGCCCTGAGTCACCGGTGAGTTCAGTGTCCTGATGTTGGCCATGGGCTGCTATGGTCTGAAGCAGTGATGGCAAACCTTAGGGACTGAGTGCCCAAACCGAGACCCCAAACCCACTTATTTATCATGAAGTGCCAACTCTGCAGTTAAACCTGAACACTGCAGTTAAACCCCATACGCTTGGCTCACGTGCCAACAGAGAGGGCTGTGCATGCCCACTGCGGCATACATGCCGTAGCTTCACCACCACAGGTCTAAAGACTCTCTTGGTATTGGAAGGTGCCCTTCCAAGATGGTGCACTGTCTCAAATGTAGCCATCAGATCTTAATTGATGACACAGAGGACAGCGCTACTGAAAGATTCTTACTATTTATGTTTCCCGTGATGAGGGCAAAACACCATGCAGAGCCACAGGGGAAACACCAGAGCTGGTCAGGAGGCAGTGAGAGGCGGGGGGAAGGCAAGGCAGGAAGTACATTGTTTACGATCAGCCCGTTTGCTGTTTGAGTCACGTCAGTAGAATCTGAACTGTAGGGCTGTCCCTTGTTGTTTTGTACCTGCCTGGACTGATTTAGGGCAGGACAGATATTGGCGGTGTGTTAAAGCAGGTAAAAGGGGATAGAGTCAACATTGTTTGGTTTTTATATGAGAGGGTGGCTGAGCTTTTTGCTAGCTAGGATTTGGCTAGTTCTGGGAGACGAATTCTCTTCCCAGGCTGTGAAGTTTTTAAGATATCAAAACATGAAAAAAACACACAATTAAGACACTCAAGGGCAGTTGGCAGGAGGCTTCGGTTCCTCAAACAAGACCCTCTTCATGGGGCTGCTTGAGTGTGCTCAGGCTACGGCAGCTGACACCCCCCAGAGCAAATGATCCAAGAGACACAGCAAGGCAGGACTGAAATTTTCAGACAACACAGCCATACTGTGTTGGTCACACAGACCAGCCCTAATTCAGTGACAGAGGCAACCCCATGACAGTGCGATTACCAGAGGGTAGAAACTCAGAAGCTGCCTACCATAACTGCCCGAGCCAGGGGTTTGTAAATTCAGCTCCATACCTGACGTCACCACACGCATGTGTAAAATGTGCATACTGTTACCCATCCAGCACTGAGCTCCTCCGCCCCGCAAGGCAGCACCAACCTCCCAGTTGCTCAGACCAGAACGTGTAGAGTTTCCCTTTACCCCTTGCTCTTTCACAGTCTCTTAGCAAATCCTGTTGGCTCCACCTTTACCGTGTACCCAGAGTCTACCTTGTGCTCACATCACCTGATGTCCAGCCACCAGCACGTCCTGCATGGGTTATTGTCGCAGCCTCCTCGGTGGGCTTCCTGCTCTCGCACTCGGCCTCCCTGCAACCTATAGGATCCCATGCAAACCCAAGCAGCCCTCTACTTGCAGCTCCCATCTGCTTCCCAAGGTCTACAGGCCTTACCAGAGCTGGCCTCTCCTCTTGTGCCCCCATTCCCTCATTCCGACCCCTGACCTGCGCTGATGCTTTGCACTTGCCAAGCTCCTCAAACCTCTGCGCCTCCACCCTGCTCTGTGTCTGC